TGTCCTTTATGTGTCCCTATTCTACGGCCCTCCTCCGTTCCCTTCAAGCAATCTGGCAATTGTCCACGTTGCGCAATACATCCGGTGCGCCGTATACATAGATGGCCACTTCTTTACTGTTTACCTCGTCGACATGTAGACGCATGCAATTCTTTCCATTAGCTCCCAGCTCTTTCTCATAGCCTCCTCCGCTCGTAAAGCTGCCAATCCACGGAAAACAATATCGCTCCGTACATGCAACTTGGAACGCGCAAAATATCCTAAAGGGCCGTTTAGCCTGTATGAAAAGCATGAAGAATGAGCGCGTTATCCTCTCCTGACGTGTCCCGTCTTTGCAGTCCAATTCTGAAAGCCAGCTGTTTGTTCACGTGACATCAGGGTGAATTAAGCGCTCTATTGGTCAGTATAGGAGATGTACCCGTTGTGAATTTTTGCCTACCTTGCATGCTTTGCCATGCAGTCGCATGTTTGGTCTGTCTGGTCGCGCTGCGTCACTATCATGCGCGATAAACTGATTTCACTTCGTTTGCTGCGTTTGCGACTGCGCAAGCGGAAATAGAAGTGTGTAATCTCAGAGCGCGAAATCCATACTGGCTTAAAGCAAGGGCTGAAATTCCACGTGTTTTTTGAGGACCCGATTCAAATTGTGTAAATATCCCTACTAATGGCTGGTCCACTGAAAATAGGTATTTTCAGTGGACCAGCGATGAGTAGTGATATTTGTCCAATTTCGCCAGCTCAGCGTACAAATTGCTTGCTAACAAATGAAATACCCTCGCGTATGAAGCTTCTCTGAAAAAAAATCCTACCTAAAAAATGCCGTGCGGCAACTGCTGAGTACAATGCGTTTGCTGAAACATACATGAAGTGTCTCAAAGCCTACTTGTGGTCAAATTTAATTCGAAGTAACCCACCACGCAGTGCCTCTTGTAATGGTACCAGGGTATTGGCGTGTGATACTCCGATGGAGGCGGAAATGTTGTAGGCCCATGTGCTCAGATTTGGGTGCACGTTAAAGAACCCCAGGTGGTCGAAATTTCCGGAGCCCTCCACTACGGCGTCTCTCATAATCATATAGTGGTTTTGGGACGTTAAACCCCACATATCAATCATTGGCGTGTGATAACTTGAAACGCATGCCCCTCAGATAGAAAATTTGATGTGACCATACGCGAATATTGATAGCACCTATCTGGACACACATTGTTTTATTTACTCACAAGGTGTGTGATGGGCTACTATATTCAAAGTTCTGTGCCACATCGGACATGTGCTAATAAGTGAAATAGCCTAATGTCTTGCACTCGGTAAGTTTTATTGTTTGTAATAAGAAAGTTCGCAAATGTTTGAAAAATGCAAGCGCTATGCACATGTGCGATGCAGTGCTAATCATAAATAGTGGAACCTTCAAAGAAGCGTCATAAAACCAGTAAGCCCATGGTCACCTTTGATGACCATGGGCCTGCTGTTTTGCAGAGGGAAAACGCGTTCGATGTGTGTCCAGTAAACTGAACTTCTGTTCGCGTCGCTCTAAGCGTGTTACGTGCTGAACAGAGTCTTGGCCGCATTAACATGTCGTACATCACCGCAGCGAATTCTGAACAAAAAATTATTCCTTTAACACACATGGCTGTTTAATTGGGTCATTATAATGAGTGAAGTAAGTGTCCTAAGCGTTCACCGGGGACACGAAAAAGAAGATTACATTTTCGCTGTAAAGGTCTAGCAAGGAATGGAATAGCAACAAATTGTAATGTTATGCGAAGCGATGCTATCAGCTAACGCTTTTAGACTCTGAGCTGGCGGAACTCTTCAAACCACTGGTGTGAGGGAACATAGCCGCTTCAGTGCAGTCTGTTACGTCAACACGAAGGAGAAGCGCACAGTAAGGCCGTGAGCCGTCTATTATTAGGTGCCGAGCTGCGCTCGCTATCGCGCGTGAACGCGCTTTTTTTTTCGTTTTATGAAAGTTGACAGTTACTGCTTAGGTTACGCAGCCTCCACCACCGGCACCATTTCACGCTCCTTCGCATACCCACAGAGATAGCTGGTGTGTTTTGTCTTCACTTGAGACACGCCCGTCTGCGCACTGTCAATGTTGTTCCATATAGGTTCCACTTAAAGCAGTCGTAAACATACGTTAACAGCAATAGGCGGAGGTGGTATATAAATCAGTGAATGTACTACGGCGACGGCTTTTATAAAAGTAACATACCATGAGAGAGTTGCTTTTCATGCGGGCCGCATGGAAATTCTGTCGAGATGTAACACGCTACCACGTGCCCAACAAGGCAATGCATATCGACTGACACAGTTAAGGTTGAGCCCTGTACTTCCACTCACTACTAACTCACCACTTGCGACTTTAACGAAAATGCTTCCGTTCACTTGCTGCTTATGAGGAGCTGTAAATTACGAGCAGAGTCTGACAATAGTTTTACTGGTCTCGAAGGTTCGGCGAAAGTTTGATATAGGGACAGGGGCAACCGCTAAGGGCGCCCGTGCCTATTGATTGATTGATTGATATGTGGGGTTTAACGTCCCAAAACTACTATATGATTATGAGAGACGCCGTAGTGGAGGGCTCCGGAAATTTCGACCACCTGGGGTTCTTTAACGTGCACCCAAATCTGAGCACACGGGCCTACAACATTTCCGCCTCCATCGGAAATGCAGCCGCCGCAGCCGGGATTCGAACCCGCGCCCTACGGGTCAGCAGCCGAGTACCTTAGCCACTAGACCACCGCGGCGGGGCCCCCGTGCCTATATACGGCGGAGCACCAGAGCGGCCGCGACGCTGCAATTGTACGGCATCCAGCGGAGCTGTGCAAAATTATTAAATGTAGCCGTGAAGGTTGAATACGCCATCCGAGTGATGTTACCTTCTAGAAAACTCGGGGAAGCTCTAATAAAGGGAATTTAGCGTCAAATGAGGCCTTGAAGCTTCAAATTTGACGGCATGCTGATTCCACTGTAAAATATGCTACCGCTGTAAAAGCATGCATGCTTCTTTGTTTTTCTCAAAAACTTAGTGAAATTTTGTCGACAGTTCTTCAACAATTCTGGTGGTTCTTACTGCGTTGCGCAACTTCAGTGGTTGCAACGTTTGACAGCGCATACATATCCAACCTTTTAGGCTATTCCGTGTTTCTATGCTGAGATATATCTTTAAAGTTGCCTTGTATTTAATAAATCAAGAGCCATTTTGGATGAATAAGTGGTTTGGATTTAGAAAGTGATGAGGATTGCGCAATACTTCATACGATTTCTGCATTGTTTTCATGTTTTTTTTTTGTTCAGTTGATTTATCAGTACGGTGCCGTAGCGCGCTCTAAGTTCGGTATGCCAAGTAATGTAGTTTTCCAGTTTTTAACTCTCCTGTGCAGTTTACTCATACTGTGTTTTACATGTTTTTCTTTATTGTTTTCTCTGTTACATCAAAAGCCTTACATGCCTCCTCAAACGTCAAAATTTCTCGGCTGCGTCCCGTACCAGCGGTGTCAACGTGTGACGCAAAACGTTATCTTCTCGTGCTCAAGACGCATTGATATCGAAAATTGACTTTTCACGCTTCTACAGCTTCCGCAAGTTTTGTACAGAACTTTGGTGCAACCTCTCTTGCGCCGTCATCCTATGGCAAGCTTCTACTGGTATAGCGCTGAAGTCTCTGTTCCAAGCAAGGGATGTGTACACGTTGAATTTTTCAATCTGTGAGAAGCTGAATGTAGCTCCGCCTGTTCGGCATATCACCTCAATACTTTTGGTCATCTTAGTTTCTGTATAAATGAAAATGGTGAGCATTTCGCTCATCAGGCTTCCGTATTACCTACTGGCATAGAACGAGAACTGGCATAAAACGAGGTAGAGGTGGCCGGTATGCTCGCCTTCATTAAATGTGTCATTATTCATTGCAGCTATGACAAAGGTGCTCATGTACAGTGTCAATGCAGCCTCAACAGTCTCCAGCTAAGCTTACGGTTCCCGGTACGCTTGCTAGGCGGACGAGCTCTGCGTCGTTTTGCACCATGTATACAAATACGACGTGAGGCCGTAAAAAATCTTCGGCCCCGCGTCGGCAGAAGTTCCGGAACGTCGCGTGGTGACCTCACAACAACACCTCCGATTAGTCACTAATCTAGCCCAACGATGTCCCTCTCATGTCACTCTCATGTCACTCTCAAGTCACTCTCAAGTCCAAAGACAGCAGTTTCCTATGTGTTCGATAGTAGATCGGAAGCGGTCTGCATCCCAAACAAGTAAAACATCTCCTGGAAGGCCATTACAGGCCATTCCATATTATAGGCCAGCAACATGCCTTGTAATTTGAACAGCGTGCCAAATTTTTACTCAGAACACTTGAATAACACTTCTTTTTTTTCTTCTTTGCGTGATCCTTTAACATGTTATGTGTAGTAAATGTACAGTGTCGTATGTTAGCAGTTCCGATACATTACAGCTGTATAGAAATTCGAGTTGTGTCCCGGTACAGGTTCCCCGATATTCTGCAGATACAAAAGCAAAGTCGAGTCAGTCACTCGATACCTTCACGACAGAGTCAGAGAAACCGCTCGTAAGAGGAAGCAAAACAAGGAACAACAAGAGCGCTGTAGGCAAACCACAAAGAGACAGTTCACTGTTTGGCTCCATTACGCCGGTTACACACGTATCGCACCTACAAACGAGTGGAGGTCGTTTGATTTATTTCGTGACGACAACGAAGCGGTGACGTTGAAGTGAAAGTTTCTAAAAGAAACGCATTGGTCTTTTTCGTAGAATTCTTCACTTATTTTTTTCGTAATTAAAATATATATATATACATATACAGCGACGTTAGAACTTGTAGACGCCGAGTTTAGGCACGTGGCTCTGGACGCTATACGCGAAGTTGATGCGTGCTTCAAGCACTTGTGCCCGAGCACGCACTTTCTGGCGTCCAGAAGCCGAGTGCACGTAATCCTGAAGCGCGTGCGCAGAATGAGACTCCAGAATGGGGGACTAACCTTGAAGAGGGCGTAGCGGTGGACGATATTCCGCTCCGCCTTGGAGGCCTCGTACCGTTCGTGCAGCTTGATCAGGGCACACTTGACCGTCTGATAAGACTCGCTGACCTTCTGTTCGGCCATGAAGAGTCTTTCACTCGTCTGGACCGCGCCTTCGCGGGTGTGGTCTGCAAGACGGCGGTATCCATTCATGAATATCAAAGAGTTCGAGAAACTCTGCGGGAGACTTTGTGACAATATCACCGGAAAAATAAAGGTGACGTGAAAGCAACGAGCTTGAAAACATAAATTTGAGTGATATTTACACTGGAATCGAGGTGTTTTTTTTGTATTTATGCATGTTGCTCCTCAAAGTCACGGTTAACTGTGGTTAAGAGTAATTCAGATATAACGTATTAGTGCGATGTAGAACGTGGCAAACAAACAATAATCTCAGCCCTGCATATGATAAGGCAATTTCGTCTGCAACTGTGTTGTACTGCTGCGCGAGCATGGTGTTTTGTTACGCCTCGCATTGTTGGAAGTGCTAGAAAGTACTAGTGAGACAAAGTATAGACCTCATTGTGGATAAATGAATGGTAAATTGTGTTTTGTGGTGTGAACGGATTGAGAGAAAAAGTATTTTCGTGGGCCCTAGTGAGTTCCGTGCCGTGATGAATGCATAAAGTGCATTCGGTGCCTTTCACACCTTACAAGTGTGCAACCACTGCGTGAACTTCTTAACGAGAAAGCAGGCTATACATATTCAATTCGTAACACTGCGCGTAATTTGCAAACCCTACACATGCGTATAATAGACCTCATTTTGCCTGAAAGTATGGAAAAAGTGCTAGGTCTTATACCTAATAATTCCTTCCAATTACAAAATCCGTTGGTAGCGAATAATCAGAGTGTATCGTCACTCAATAGTATTTTGTTACATTTATCTGCAAAGGCAGCGAACTCGCCATACGTTGCAGACCAAAAGTTTTGTTTAGAAATAAAAAAATAACTTAGGTAAGACAAAAGCGTACTTTGAAAACTCACCGAACTCAACATCTTGGACAAACTTCTTTACGGATGTCGTGAACTTGCCAACAAGGTTGGACCCTTCATAAAAAAAAAGCAAGCATCAAACGTGGTCATTGTACACTCATATAGTAAAGAGGGAACCATGTGCAAACAGTGTACAAGCGACAAGCCAAATCATAGTCTGACCCAGCAACGCTGCCGTTGTGGGAAAAAACAAAGTAAAAAAAGAATTCTCACTGTTGCCTGAATAAAGTGAATCATACGACTGCAAAGAAATCACAAATGTTCCGTGAGGCCAACGTTTTTATCCGAGTGTACGAGATGTAAGCTCACATGTCATGCTCGCCTGTTACACGGTTTGTATGAGGCCCATATTGCTGTTCGGGCCGTCAGCATGGTACTTACCTGATTACACGGCCAAGACGCATATCGTAACGGAAGTGCTCAGAGCCCACGTGAGGCATATTACTCGCGCCCCTGCCCATCATTTAGCCTCACTGCCAGAAGAGCAACCTCGTGCCTCATTTTGACAGACAGTATTACCCTAGCGTACACAAATACCAACTACATTACAGTTCCAGCCAGAGTTTCAACTTCCCCATGGTATGTACATGACTCATTCAGAGGTTTTACTAATGGTTCCAGGTATATGATCTCAGGTATACGGTCAAAAGTTCAGCTCTTGTCTCCAGCGCTAAAGCAGCTTTCTCTTCTCTTGTTGTATACTTCGTACAGCGAGCATAACCATCTTATATATTTACGCTTCAACTATAGAGTGGATGGACCTGCAGTGTCGGTGATCTTTCCTGCAACGGCGACCATCACAAAGATTCGGCTATCCCACCAGATGACATGGACAGCAGCGGAACTTTCCGCTCTGCGTAGCGCGCTTAGAGTAATTCACAAGCCAAGAAATGAAGCGTGTTCAAGGACTCCAAGGCAGCACTACAGTGTTTGGTGTTCACCTTACGCCGGGGACCTCATGAACAACTAGTGCTGGAAATTAGAGAGTTACTTTACCACCTCTTCGACGAAGGACACCAAATCATGTTTCAGTGGCTTCCAAGTCAGTGCGGCATATTGGGCAACGAATATGCCGACGCAGCTTCTCGATCGGCACACAAGTATGGTGTAGAAAAATGGATCCAATTCTCAAGTAGTGATGCTGCCATGAAACTATGACAGATTTTTAATAAATAAGTAAAATCCCCGTGAAATCCAAGTTTACGGCACACGTGAGTGCATAGGCTGATTCCAGCCTACGTCCGGAGTCCATCGACTTGATACCACGGTTCTTTGCCAACTGCGACTTGGTGTCGCTTTCAGCACATTTTTGCCCTCAGAATCGGCGTGGAAGGCAGTGCTGCTTGCGAGCGTTGCGGCAGCGATCACTGCCCTCGCTACAGCACGTACAGACTGTCGATAGCTGCTGCGTTAGCCTGCCTTGACGACAAACATTTTCAGAACAGTCAGTGCTGGAATACCGACACGATCTGTCTTCGCAGAGAAAATCCGTCAAGGCTTTGTTTATGGAACTTTTTGCGTGATTGTGGCCTATTGAACACACTACAAAACCCCCACTTTTCTTTTTTTTTTGCGCATCTACTTTTCTTTCCGCTTCCCTGCTCATCTTTCTTTCCCACTTCTCGTCGTCTTAGTGCAAGGTAGCGAACCAGATGCTACAATTCTCGTTAACCTCCTTGCCTTTCTCTCAATACATCCTATCTCACATATATTCGTCAGTTCCCAATTGGGATTGGACTACCATCGTCAGTAAAAATGATTCCGGCCAAAGGAAACGTGTAACTATATCATAAGTTGAAATAAAACACTTTCCCGGATCTCGGTGGCTTCTCAGGCGTGAAAAGAAATGAATTGACTAACTAATAAGATGAAACATGACCAATACTTCGTCCTTATCACGAGGTTCGATTGAACAACGCGTGGGTTTATTTACATATTTCTTGCTATCCGAGGAAGGAGCAAGTATCAAGAGTGAAAGCTAATCGTGGTGGGCGGTACGCCTGCTGTCGTATTGTTGCGCAATCGGGCGGTGACCGGCAAAAATCATTATTTGGCGTTGAAAGGATCGCGAAAAAGTTTCATTGTCTCGTCATCGGAGAGAAAAATAGAAAGGTGGATAAGGGGTCATATTCGCAAAAAGCTATTACCCTGCAGTTGTACGAGCAATTCTGAGTAAATTGTGGCTTTGCACATGGCGTTCTTTAAAACTTTAAAACGACTTGCCGATGGCGAAAAGCACTCACGAGCGAAACATTTTTTTTTTGAATTTCGGCCACCGGTGTTATTACACCGTGATATTCAACGTATTGGCATGACAGATGAAAATTCAATTGCAGTAAGACTAAATGTTTTCCACGTTTCATACCAGACGAAATGGTTGTTGCACATTAAAAACACTATCTTACTTGTTTCATCCCCTCTATTGTTCATATTTATTGATTTTTATTGTGAAGAAATGGTGACCGCTCTGCGAAGCCAGCGTTTCAATATTGACAAAGATTCCTCGGCAAACACAAGTCACCTTAAAACACTAACTTCCAGTCGATGCTGTAGATGTATCTGTTGAAATCTTCGCTTTTGTGTTACCTGTCTGTCTTATCTGTACAACGCAACACGAGCAATATGGTAAGAAAGTGGGGGGAAATTTATTCAGAACCTAATCGCGCATTTAGTTTGAAGCATGCGAGAAGGTACACCATGCAGAAGTGCACAACAGACATTATCACACAAAGATATCGTAAATTACTTGTGATTGAAAATAGAAATGAGGTTTTTCGTGTAAACTACAACGTAAGCACCTCATTCAGTTCAGCAAGTGGTTATTCGTACTTGTCACTAATATTGGAGATGCAGGAACGAACCGAAAAAAAAATATGTAAATGACATCTTCAGCTAAAATTTTCTTTCGTAGCACCTACGTTTTTGCTCCCGGTTTCATTAGGCTTGTGCCAACTAAATTCACACCATGCGCGTGAAGTTCATTTTCGCATGCGACGCTGTAAAAATTTGAAGAAAGTGTGAGTGCAGTGCTTGAAAATTCTCGTCTCTGCATAGTTGTAACACATGAGTGCGCAATTGGAGAGTATATGGCAGCATTCGCTTTTTGGAAAAAGTACGGTTATTTCCATTCAAAGCTGACTGAAACATTATTTTTACATGCTCGTTTATTTTGGCGTAAAGCGTATTTAGGGTAAGCAGATGAATGCAATTTTAGGTGAGCATAAACGCTGAACTTCAGCCGCAAGAGCAAAATCTAGTTCATCCAGAAGCCTATGTTTTGAGCTTTATAAGATCTCCTCCTAATAAATACTTTTTTATTAACAGTTCCTTCTGAAAGTATACAAAGCATTCATACTATAATGCTGTGTTTTTTTGTTACAGACGGTCTAATGATTCTGAGTTACTTTGATGTTTTTGCACAGTAACTGTCTCCACTACAGGAACACGCGTCTTCTAGGAGTGTTCATTTAGTCTTATATAGAGACCGTTTCTTAACTTCGCGACACGGTCGAGCAAACTCCAAAGCTCTGCACCGGCTCTATAAATACTGCAATTCACGTCAGTGACCAACATTGTCTCTGAACGTTGTCGCCTAGTTCATTCCTTTCTCTTTCATTTTCGCTATCACTGCGTAAGAGATTTTCTACGGCACAAGCACTTGCGCGTCCCTGCGTAGCTAGCCTCATCAGTTTCCTTCGGATAAGATGGCAGACAGACTGGCGTCTGAGGCAGAAGCCCGGGATTTGTTTCCTCTGCTGCGGCTTGTTAGCATGAGATCCCTGGGCCAAAAAGCTGTACCACTTTGGGTGCCTCGAAACGTTTACTCTTTCTATACATGTATATCCTCGTTTTCAACGCTCTCAATGCTTTCACATCCCCCGGCTTGCCCACAGCTGTTGATTTTTTGTTCTTTCAGTGCTTCGCGCCAAGTTTAAAGCTATCTGCGCTACGCGCAATCTATTTTCCGTTTTACTTCGTGGCTTCGGAAGTTTTCGCGAGTGCTCTTATTAAAGTAGCAAGGCAGGCTCGTACATTGTTCTCTTGAAGAACGAAAGGGGAAGGGAAGCATGTTTATATGAGTCTTAACGTGCTTAAGCACGACTCGAGAACTGCGTCCCGAAGTTTCTTTTTTTTTGTATGTGTTGTTCGAAGGCATTACGCGACCGATAACTGCGCTGCGTAGAAACTGGCGTAAACTGAAAGTGGATTAATTCAGTGACGTCAATATTGCACTCTCTTGAGCCTACAAACGAGGTTGAAAGCATAATAAATAAATCGACCTGTTAAATTTGAACCCAGCAGTCCTCCTCATTCATGTATTACTCAGTTTTGTGAAGGTCAAACACAATCGACTGGTTGCTTTGACCTTTTTATCAATATAATAATAACGATCCCATTATGAGGCATGTCACAGTGTCGAGCTCTGGTTCCCATTTGACTACTTGAGGTTCTTTTCTCTTGACTTAAAAGTAAACAAATGACAGGTTTTGCGTTTTTCTCCAACAGAAGCCCGCCCAACCGCGGTGTCTGGTGGCCAAGGTGCTCGGCTGTTGACCCGCAGGTTGCGGGATCGAATCCCGGCTGCGGCGGCTGCATTTCCGATGGAGGCGGAAATGTTGTAGGCCCGTGTGCTCAGATTTGGGTGCACGTTAAAGAAGCGCAGGTGGTGAAAATTTCCGGACACTGCCACAGTGGCGTCTCTCATAATCATAAGGTAATTTTGGGACGTTAAACCCCACGCATCAATAAAGCAATCAATAGAAGCCCTGCCACCGGAACGAGAGCACAACCGTCAGCCCGATCTCTGCACAGTGCCATAGCCAAGCAACTGTGGTGGGTCTAACACTTAATTTAAACAGCTTCACTCCGGCTGCAAATGCAAGGCACCGAAGTGATTGGAACGAACTGGTTCTATCGGTCGACTGCAACATATGTAAAGCGACAATCGAGCAACGTGACCCGCTGAAACGGAAGCTATGAACGAAACGGCACCCGTTGCGCTGAAGACGTTCGCTCTGCAAGTCCAATTTGAAGTCACCGGCGCGTGCTACACA